AATGATCCCCAAGCCTCAGGAAGAGAGGGTAGGATATAAATGTCTCATTGAGGGCTGAGTATTCCACAGTCTCTGAGTCCCTGCACCCTGATCATTTGTGGCGGTCTCTGTGTTGATTGCTATGAACTGCAAAAAGCGTCTTCTCTGATGAGGCTTGAGAGATGCACTAATCTATGGGTATAATGATAAGTCATTAGGGGCTGGTTTAATTTCATGTCCATTTAATAGAATAATAGTAGTAGGATCTTCCCTAGGGCCTATAATGTGTCTAGCCACAGATTCCTGGCTCTGATATCAGTGCCAGATATAAGTTTTGACTTGTGGAGCAAGCCTTTAACACAATCAGAAAGTGGTTAGTCCCATGATATTTGTGCTGGTATTATACCAATGGGTATGTCTTGCCAGGTTGGTCAATGCTGTAGCTTGCTCTGCTGACTTTTCTGTCTTCTTGATGTCTACACTTTCTGGAACTGGAACCTCTCTCTCTCTCCAGTTTTGTTCACTTACTCAGCTGTCTTATCCCAATTCACCAAGTGCCATTTGAACACTTTTGACTTCCAAATGCAATTTTAAGTCCTGCCTCTTCCCTAAATCCCAAGCTCATATTAAGTGGCCCCGGTGACATTTATTCATGTCCAATCAATTGCTCAAATTCACAATGTTCCACGTGGTGTGACTGTCTAATCACCAACCATTCACTTATTAGCCCATTTCCCCCTATTATAGCTTAATAAAAAATCTGCCTTTCTGTATTCTCAGGGAATGATTCATCTCTGATTCTCCTCTTTTTCTTATTCTCCACATTTAAACCAGGAACAAATCATGGGAACACTCTTTGAATTGTCTTTGGACTCCCCCACTTCTCACCATGGACATCTCCATCATCCTGGCCTGAGGCAACCTTTATCTATTTGCAACACACCAATGAGGTCCTAGTACATAGATGTAAATGGCATTTATACACTTAGCGCTTTGAATCCAAGTCAAAATTCCTACACTTCTTTGCAGTGGTCCCTGCAACTTGCTTCCTACACCCACTCCATCATCTCTTTGATTGTATCCCTTAGCATAATCCCTCTGACTCGCTTTACTTCAAACTTTAATCTCCTTGCTAGTCATTGAACAAGTCAACCACAGTCTCCTTTAACTGGCTTCATTAAAAGACAGTTTTTTGAGTTCTATTCTCAGAGTTTCTGGTCCAGCAGGCTGTGGGTATGACTGGTTAATTTGTATCTTTGAAAGACTGGAAGGGGTGCTCTTGCTGTTTTAGGGATCATACTAAGAGCAGCTGGATGTGCTGATAAATCGACTTGCATTGTGGCCTATCTCAGGCTACCAATGTAGCAGCAACTGATTCAGCTGACTTTTGAAAATCTAATAATTGTCTCTGCAGAGAGCATATCATTGTAAACAGCAGCCTAGAATGAGGGTTGGGGCAAAGAATGGAGAAAGCATTTATTGCGCACTTACTATATGCTAGTAGTTCTAATGTGTCAAATAAAAGGTTTCATTTGGTCCTAAAACCACCTATACAAGACTATGTCACACATTAGTGAAATTACTTTTCTGAGTCACACAACTGAGACTTGAATCTATGGCCTGAATTGATCCTGAAGTCCCTCCTATCCAAAAACAAAACAGAGCAAAAATAACAACAACAAAACAAAACAAAACAAAAAAACAAAACAAAACAAAAAAACCCAAAACAACAATAAGAAAAACTGCTTTGGATGGCATCACTTGTTACCAGGGCCACCACTGCAGGGTTAGGAGATGAAATACAAGAGCAACTGAAGGTGACTTATGGCATAGATACAGTCTGACGTTAGAGGAGATTAACTTCTGTCTAGTGGAGTTTGAAAGGGGAGCCCTGATGAGCAAGCCCGTAAACACACTAGGCTAGCCATGTGGGGGACGCAGTCTCAGAGTGGATCACAACCTGTGGGCCAAGTGCAGCAGAGAACATGTTCCTTCCCCTGGTTTCCACCTGATAATCCAGGAACCAGTAAACGCAGATCAAAGGAGACTAAAAAGCTCATAGACTGCGCTTTCGGGTGCCAGGTGCCGAAATAGCTTTCCTTTGAGGGCAAGTCAATTCCCTCCATTGATGGACCAGAAGCGGCTGCAGGCAAAGGTCCCGCTTGCTCCCTCCTTTAATTGTCTTGCTCCCCTCCTTCTGGACGAAGCTTCAATCACTGTACTTTCTACGCTTGGAACCTCTGGGACAGGTTTCCACTGGCAAGCTTCGGGAACTCCAGGGGTGATTATCCAGGCATCAAAATTGCTTTCCTCAGGTCTTTTGAACGCCAACCTCTGAATTGCCTGGAATGCTGCCCTTTGTCTTGCCATCCTCTGCCAGTGACGGGAGCTGAGCTACCTGGCCTGAAGGAAAACACTAAGCCTCAAGCATCCAGACCTTTCAGTGAGTTTCAACCTTCCTATAGCTGTGGTGACCCCCCAACCATAAAATTATTTTGGTGCTACTTCATAACTATAATTTTGCTACTGTTATGAATTATATTGTATATTTCTGATATTAGGATAAGCAATATGTGGCTTCAGGGATTGTGATCCCTAGGTTGAGAACCACTGCTTCATGCCAACCCTAAAATCCACAGCAACGTAAAGAAATTCCCAGGGCAATGAAGGTCAAGTTGCACCATCTGAGATGCTTTACTCTTCACATTTTCTACTGGGACCTTCGATGGAGACTTCTGGACATACACGGTCTGGGAAGCACTTGGACTAGAAATGGCAGAGGAAAGGTGACTCTGAATCAGTGGCCCTGTCTTCCACAGATGAGGAAGCACAGGAGCTTCTGATCCTTCTATCACATGTGTGCATTGCTACAATTCCCTGAGTGAGGACTGTGAAAGAGACAAGAGGGAGACATGCTCTGTAGTGAGGGAAGCTGTTAGTGCAGCTGCTGGGCTGCTGCTTCCTCTTCCTCTTCTTCCTCCTCCCCCTCCTCCTCATCAGCATCCTTCTTCCCCTCCTCTTCCTTCCCCCCTCCACTTCCTCCTCTTCCTCCATAGCATCCTTCTCCTCCTTCTTTCTTTTTGAGACAGGGTCTTCCTGTGTAGCCTTTGGCTGTCCTGGAACTCAGTAGGTAGACCAGGTAGACCTTAATCTCACAGAGATCTGCCTGTCTCTGCCACCCAACACTGGGATAAAAGGTGTGCTTCACCATGCCCAGTATGGGGAGGCTTCCTGGGCGCTTTAGGAGGGGGTTTGGTGCTGTAGTCATGAGGATGTGCTTGCCGGGAAGAGGTAGGAGACCCAAAGCACTTAAACATTCAGAACCCCCAAGTGCCATTATGATTTTGTGGGTTTTTTTCTTCCTTCCTTAGAGGTCAAGTTAAAATCATCAAAAAGAAGAGGTTCTTATAATTAAACATTCCATATATCAAGTCTTTATTATTTTGTTTCTTGGTTTTGTGGTGCTGAGGGATGGAACCCAGGGTCTCATGCATACTAAGTAAGCACTTTACACTGGGGTATGTCCGAGATTCCTACAGCCCTCTTACCATATTCAGGATGGATTGAAAGTGTTATCTCCTTGCTCTGAGTGAGGTCTTCTATACATCCAAGTCAATAATAAGAAGGGACATGACATGGTGTGTGTGTGTGTGTGTGTGTGTGTGTGTGTGTCTGTCTGTCTGTCTGTCTGTCTGTCTGTCTATCTTTGGGCACCTGCAAAGGCCAGAAGACAGTGTCAGGTTTCCTGGCAATGGAGTCAAAGTCAGTTGTGATCCAGCAGGCATGGATTCTGGGGACTGAACTATAGTCCTTTGCAAGAGCAGAAAGCACTCTTAATGGCTGAGCCATCTATCTAGTCCCAAAGACACAGTGTTTTCTACCTGCTGTGAATATTCTCAGGGAGGGCAGTCTATGCCTTAGCCCTCATATGACTACTTCTTACTCACCAGTGGTCCTGGAGGGTACCCCAAAACAGAGGAACAGAGTGCTACATTTTCTATAAACCTTGGTTCCGAAGTTAGTTAGGGAAATACAAACAAGGCGACCAGATTATATTGAAGGTAACATAAGCAGGTTCACATACTTATCACTGACACAAGGAACAGTAGTAACATGGTTCCCACTGGGGTTTGGGTAAGTATTCCCCAAAGACCCATTTGTTAAAGATTTGATCACCAGCCTGGGACCTTGTTGGGAGGTGGCAGAAGCTTTAAGAGGTGAATCCTAGTGGGGGGAAGTTAGGTCACTGGAGGATGTGCCTTAGAGGCATACTGGGGCCCCAGTTCCTTCCTTTCTCCATTTGCTTGCAGACTGCCACGTGATGAGCATGCTCTACCACATGCCCCCACCATGAGGTACTGTGACTACACTGGTCCGAAGCAACATGGCATGAAGAAAATTTCTATTTCTTCAACATCAGAAATAGAAAATAAACTTTTACTTGAGTTGTGGATCTCAGGTATTTTGTTGTAACACTGGGAAGTTGACTGACGAAGGCCCTGGTGCAAACAAAACAAGGTGCTGGGATCATCAGCAAGCTCCTCTAAGACCATTTCACTTGGGGGTGAAGGAACAGCTGGATTGATAGTGTGCCCATTGAGGCTCTCTAATAGGACAGTAAGAAGCATTTATTCCTTAAAAAAAAAAAGTTCTGTTTAGGGAGGACATCCTCCTCAAAAGAGACAGGGTGAACTTCTGCAAAGCAGGCTATTGTTTCCAGGAGAGCATTTTTTTTTCTTCCTCTTCCATGAGGTGCAGGTGTACCACAGAAAGTTTAGTCGTGGGAGGCAGATACTGAGTGTCTTCCTTGGACCGTCATGCCTGGTAGTCAGAGGAAAAGAGAGGTAAGAAAGGAAGGGCCAGACTCAGCAAGAGCCAGCCCATTGGACTTTTGGCACTTTGGGAATAAAGCAGATTTCCTTTGCCTCTACCTCTTGCACCTCATTGAAAGAGTAAAAGATACTGGGGATTTTGTAAGGCAAGAATCAAATAAATCTCAGGGTTTGTTCTCTTCTGCATTCAAAGGAGAGAGAAGGAAAGGCCCAAATATGGAATGGACTTCACTTCTGAGTGTGAACCTTCTCCACTTTCATCAGTGGCCATCTGGCATTCAGTGCTCCATGGCATTTCTTTCAAATGACTGGCAACTTCCAACAGTTTCCTTGGCGCTACCGCTGGGAAGGCTCTGTCCCTAGGAATGTTCTAGAAACAGTCAAAGCTCAACTCCAGCAGGTAATAATACTTATGCAATCACCACCTTCCACAGTTTCACCATGAAGGAGTCCCCATCTCTCTGCGCTAACTCTAAACGCAGAGACATCTCTGCTTTGCCTACTAGTCATGAAGAATCTTGACAGAGATGGCAGTTAGGGGAAGATTAACAACATGCACAGGCTTGGAAAAGATCCGCCCCTTGGAGTTTCCACATCAGTGTGTTCACATGTCTGTATGGCACTTCTTATAGGGTGCTATAATTATCTGTTTATATGTCTGTTGCTTCCAGTAGATTTTAGCACTTAGAGGTGAGAAGACACACCCATTTCATATGCATCCTACACCACTGAGCACAGAAACTCAGGGAGATTTGGATGGAACATTATATATTCATAGCACAACTGGTTTACAACAGGTAAACTAATGACCCATTTTTAGAATACAGACATTTCTTAACTTCTTCAGAAATTGATGAAGCTGAAGGGTATTTCCCCCTAAGAAGTGGGGCCTTTCTCAAGGAGTTATCAGGAAAAAAGCTGATACACAAAGCAGACCTGACCAATCACCGCAGTGCACCTTTCACAAGGACAGAATGGTTTGTTCTGAAAATTCAGCCAACATTTAGAACTGGCAATTGATCTGACTGTCTTAATCCAAGAATTTATGCAGGCTTTTAAGACATCAAGTTGTATCTCTCAGTATTTGGGGAAAGGAAAATTAATATATACATGAACAAAATTACACACAGAGAGAGAGGGGGAGAGGGAGAGAGAGAGGGAGAGGGAGAGGGAGGGAAGGAAGGCTTCAGTTGGGATTGAAAAAAAACCCACATAGATCCAAATAGGCTAATGTTAAGTTCTTTGATAAATAAAACTCACAGATTTTTGTGTCCCTGAACATATTATGAAAGAAATCTGACGGAGAAAATACACACACCCCAATTCATTTTTGCATGTTCAAATAAAACTCTAGCCTGGCACAGTGGTGCATGCCCTTGATCCCAGAACTTGGAAGGAAAGTAGGTATCTGTGAGTTCAAGGCCAGCCTGGCCTACATAGTGAGTTTCAGAACAGCTGGGGCCACATAGAAGGAGGAGAGGAGAGGAAGAGGAACAAGAAGGAGGAAGAGAAGCAAAAGAAATGAGGAAAGAAATGAAGGACAAGAAGAGAGAAAGAGAGGGAGGGAGGAGGGAGGAAAAAGAAAGAAAGAAAAAAGAAAAAAATAAAGGGGGAAAGAAAGAAAAAAAAACAAGTCTCTATTCGTTTTCTGTAATCTGCATGTACAGGCATTTTGCTGTCCTATGTTTATCTTTGAGGACACGTGTATTATCACCCACTCGCTAATATCCAATGCTACGCTGCTTAATAAGATGGGTACATCTCGAAGCCTCAGCTAATGGCTAAATTATGTGGAATAAAGCTTGGTAGGACAACATTTCTGGGCAAGGGCAGTACTTAGGAGTTGAGAATGTATTTAAAATCGTCATAAAATGAAGTACAAATGGCTAATAAACATATGAAAAGATGTTCCATATCCCTAGTCCTCAGATGTGCTAATTAGAACTACAGTGACATTGTATCTCACCCCAGTCAGAAAGATAGTCACCCAGAAATGAATACCAAATGCTGGTGAGACAATAGGAATTCCTACATGTTGCTTTATTTGTCACAGTTCTCTACAGGATCAGAATTAGTTAAATAAATCTATATTACAAAAGGAACTTATTATATCGGCTCACATGATTATAGTTGGGTAGCTCGGTAATGGTTATCAGCATGCTGTAGAGATTAAGAACAATGTATCTCCTCAGCCCACAAAGGTTCTACAGTCCCAAACTGGTTATGAAGGCCTGTAGAATTTTTGAAGCACCACAGGACTTCAGTGACTGGTTGTGGTGGTAATCTAATTGTATTGAAATATTATTTTGATTTGTACTGAAATATTAATTTGATTGTATGTTAATAAATAAAGTTGTCTGGGGGTCAGAGCTATTAGAGCCATAGCAAGAGTGTGGCGGTGGTGGCACACGCCTTTAATCCCATAGATATCTGTGTGTTCAGGGTCAGAGCT